TATATACAGAGACAAGCTACGGCTGAGGGTCGGGGAAGGGAACCTCCCTCCTGGCAGGGCTCTTGGCACGCCGGCTCTTCCCCATCAACCCATTTGCCAGCTAAAAGTCACCGGAGCCGGGAATCCCATCCGGAGTTTCTCCGCTGGGGGACGGGCTGCATCCCTCCACGCCAACCCCTCAGGTCTGAGCCCGAGGAGGAGCGTTCCCATTCCCTACCTCCTTCCTAAACCACCCAAATGATTACTGAGGGAGGTGACGGGGGGGTGGGGGGGAAGGACCCCCCCGACCCCTCAGATCTTGATCTCAGTCCGGAAGGTTTGCTGGACGTGGTCGGGATGCTTGGGCTGGCGCTGAGCGCGGATGGTCAACGTGCCATCGTCCCCCAGCGAGGACGACACCGACGTGGGGTCCACGTCCTCGGGCAGCTGGCATTTGTGGGTGAAGGTGTTCATGACTGTGCCATCCGCAGCCAGCTGGGGGGGGAAAACGGGTGAAAAGGGGGTGATTTTGGGGCGCTGGTCGTTCCCTGCCCTTGGGTGAGGCTTGGGTCACGCCTTGTGTGTAGTGATAATATTTGCTTCCCTGAGGGATGTGGGTGGCATCAGAGCAGGGGACAAAGGTGCTGGGTTTGGTTACCACCCCCTTGGGATGGGTGATTACAAGGCATGAGTTTGTTGGGTCTTGTGGGCTTTGCTCCTGTGAAATCTGGGGCCAAAAGGAGAGGAAATGGTGAATTTAAACCCCTGTGGGGCCGTTAGGAAGTTGGCTGGGAGCTGGGTGAGGATTTTGGGGTCCCCCACGCTTTGGGGGTGAGCGGGGAAGGGAGGAAGCACCCACCTTCTCAGCGTGCACCTCGATCTGGTTGTTGGAGGTGGTGACAATGATGTCCTCGGGGGCGAAGTCGCTGACATCCACCGTGAACTGATAAGTGTTGCCCAGGGTCTTCACCGTGCCGGTGCTGCCGGGCCGAGCTGCCGGCGAGGAGCGGTGCGGATCAGTGCGGGTGTCCCCCCTGGACACCTCTTTGTATCACAGCCACGTTTCACCAGGGGTGTCCCCCCCCCATGTAAACCCTCACCTGGGAACCCCAAGGTCTCCCCACGGGGCCGGACAAAGCTCACAAAAAGCTCCATGGAGCCGGCGGGCGATGCGGAGCG